AGGAAAATATTTTTGTCTACTTCCCAACGAAAATTTTGGAAATTTAGTTACACGGAAAATTTTATTCAGTGGGTAAAAGTCGATCGGGTAAATTTCTTCCCGCCCGTACGCCTATGACGGCTGAACTCATTTCATTTCCTGTGTATCGGAACATAAAGCAAACAATATTTGCGAAACATAATTTAGTATGCTCACTTTCTCGAAATTAAAGTAAACAAGAGGCATATACAATCAAAGGAATAATCCAGTATAATATAAAACAAAAACTTTCGCAAAAATTTAGCCACAACATTCAATAATAATAACTATTATCTAATAACTAGTTTTATCGCTTCCTTATATATTACTGTCCATCCTTCCCACTTTTGCATGCACCTATTACCGCGAAAAATTACTCATATGTGAAGCTACATATAAATACTAGGACTTTACAATCACGTGCGAGACATATTACCACCCGATAGAGTCACACATACGACAAAAAATCCTATTTTTACTGGCTCGTATTTATGAATTCACAATTGTATGAATCGTTAGATTGTGATCAAAGTGGATTTCTTAATACGCTCTCGTTTGATATAAACGTACGTTAATAAATGAATAAGTGACATTTTAGTTACAAGCCTGGAGATGGCTGTCAAAATTCAGCGAAGTTTATGTGCATTTCAGTTAGAATGAAATAACATGTGAAAACATTTAGCAAGATTGAGGCATCAAATGCGATATTATTATTTTCTTATCCAAACTTTTTTTTTTGTTACCACGTTATTATTATTGACAGTGGCGGAAATCTCCCCCCCCCCTCACCTTCCGGAAAATTGACGAATTTTCGGAAATTTTGATCTAAAAGAGGGCTAAAAACAGTCTTTTCGAGTGCAAATGGGGGGGGGGTACGTCGGAAATTTCAAAGTTTTGTCGGAAATTTAGGAGGCTTTGCCCCCCCCGGAAAAAGTGAATTTCCGCCACTAATTATTGACTGTTGTAGCAAATACTAGCAATGGAAAGTTTGTATTTCAGCCGTTGGTACTTGTTACGGAATGGCTATGTAAAGCTATATATATATAGATTGTGTTAAACGTGGTTAAAAAATAAAAATATTTTGACTTTGTTTCTGATGACATTTGCCGACTCTCGACTTTTTACTCTCGATCGACTCTCGACTTTTTACTCTCGACTCTCGACTTTTTACTCTCGACTCTCGACTTTTTACTCTCGACTTTTTACTCTCGACTCTCGACTTTTTACTCTCGACTCTCGACTTTTTACTCTCGACTCTCGACTTTTTTACTCTCGACTCTCGACTTTTTACTCTCGACTCTCGACTTTTACTCTCGACTCTCGACTTTTACTCTCGACTCTCGACTTTTACTCTCGCCTCTCGACCTATACTCTCGACCCTCGACCACAGAGTAGATAAGACATACAGAGACGTAACTGACCGTTGTAAACACTGCGGAAGATTGCGTTATCATGTACCCACTTTTTTTCAGGCGACCGGGCGAAAAATGATCAACTGCGCGTGCTCAGCAAGTTTAAAGTGAGTCGCCATCAGGTCGTCATCCAATCAGATGCATGCATCTAGTAACTTGCCGAGCATGCGCACAAAGAAAGTGGGTACACTAGTTACGTCTCTGTATGTCTCTACTCTGTGCCTCGACTTTTAGATACACTCGTCACCAACGATGGGTGGTCATCCTCACTGATCTCAAAAATATGGCGGACTGTCATGAATAACGAACACTGATTGGTCCAATTTAAAGTTTGCATTATGACGACTGCATGACGACAGCGAAATAGCAAACATTTCTTGATTTGATGAGTTGATGATTGATAAATTTCTTGCAAATATTCTTCATTTTTGCTCGTATCAGTCGTATGTCTGCAAGATTTTGTAAATTTCAAGAAAGAAAGGACGAAAGAATTTGAAAAGAAAAAACGGCCTTTGCGTATATGAAACAACTAAACAAGACAGCATATAATTTCAGTGTATCTTTAATATTGATTCCCTTTTTATTATATTGAATTTTTTTAAATAGAAAATAAAGCAAAAGTTATTTGCAAGCGAGAATTTGAAATCATTTTATTGCAAACTCAAAGTTTATCGATAAAGCCATTTAATAGTTAAAGGCAGTTTAGTTTTATAAAGAACACTTTAAAACGTTTTGTGAATTGTTTGTGGTTGAATTTTACCTTAAATTGAAGCTTGTATTACGTATAATTACATACCTAACATGATATATATGTTGGGAAATTGATAATTTTGTAATTAAAAGTGATATTTTTAGGCGATTTTCATTTGTAAGAATATTCTTAAAAAATTATCGTTTTACCATGACAACTACTTTAGATACTTCATGTTCGGAAAATACAACGGTTTTGTCAGCAAGGCGAGGGTTTCTGCATGCATGTATTTTCTAGTTAAATACGTGTTCGCCCATTTAGTACTACCAAATTGTCAATTTCAACATACTAAAATGCTGTTTTCTGACCATCAGAATTCTGTCAAATCTTCCCCAAAGTCCAGGAAATGGCATTTCAGAGACTCTAGATTTAAAAATTTCCTCGGGCCTTCGGCCCTCGCTTTCAGCCCTCGCTTTCAGCCCCCCAATAAAAAAGAGCTTCCTATGGTCCCGAAACGCTACGGAAACGATACCGTGTTGATTATTAATAGTTAGGATGAGGGGTCAAAACATTTTTCAGTAAAAAAAATAGGGGGTCATAATTTTTTATCAACTTTTCTCTTGGGGGTTCCAAATTTTAGCATGGAATTAGACATCAGTTCCTCCGGCCC